GTATAGGTCATAAGAATGTATCTAACAGGTTTTAGAAAGTCCAAGGAGTTATTTAACAGGTTTTGGAATGTCCAAGGACTTATTTGTTCCAAAAAATTGTCCARGGACTTAATCATTCCAAACACTAAAGTCCATTGGTTTTACTTTTCCYATCTTTAAATTGTGGCTAGGATAAATAAATGCACATTCTTACATCCTTAAACTATGATATAGTTTGTTGCCTGTTTTTAGTTTCCTCTTTTTTGCGTTCTTTTGTTCCATTTTCATTATGTAATCAGGACGACCCTTCTTTCACGTCCTTTTGGACACAAGTGAAAATTTACATGAAATATTGATCTCTAAACAGCAAGGATTCGGTTACTACAGTTTTCTACTAATGTAATCTCCAGGGCTTCAGTTATGTTACTGGTTTATRCATGCATTTACGATTGTTCTCAAATAAAAACTCGGGAGTGTCATTAGATTTGTTGTTCTCTACTATGAATGTCTTTCTCTTCCTTTTAGTGCTGAGAATGTTCATCTAAACAGGTTGTAAATATTACTACAACTCCAAAAGCAACATATCACAGTGGGAACRCCCAGGTTCATCACAGATTTCGGCCCTCGGTCATCAAGGCAATATAGATTCTGGAGATGCTGCTAAACCCAAATCTAGTGACCAGTCATTAGAGCAAAAAAAATGTTTTGGATGTGGTGGTTGGGGAGTAGGCCTTGTACAGTCATGGGGTTATTGCTGTCACTGCACACGGTATCTTTCATTTCTCATTTACCATATGGATCTCTGACTGCAAGGTGTTCTTTTTCCCCCTTTTTGGTGATAATGGGGACATACCATTAGAAAAGTGTATTAGCATCTGTAGATCTTTGTTGAAATAGTTTGTCAGAACTTTAAATATGAGAACATTTATGAWCTTTTGGTACTTTTTTACTTATTCCATATATTGCAGAAATTGATGTTGAACGTTAATATGAACTTCTTTTATGATATGACCCGTTCAGCTAGCCTTTTGTGTAATTTTTACTATAGTTTTTTTCCTCTTGAGAGAATGTTTKCAGTCTAATGATCCAGTATTGTAGTTTATTTATCTCTTGAAGAGTTTTAGGAAGACAACCACTTTAGGACGAGGTTGTGAACACAATGCGGGAAGGTTCGATATTTAGGGTGATACTTATATTGCACTAGAGGATAATTGATGTTTGACCTACTTCCCAGCTTCACATAGTTGGCTGGTTTTAACACATTCTTTCTCATAAACACGTGTGAAAATCTCCATCTTTTTTTAACATGCCCGGTCTGTTAATGGGTTTAATAAATCCCTAGTCGTACTTTTTCACACATTGCAAAAGAAAAAGAGTGAATCAGAAAAGATCACCTTTTCCCTAGTCTTACTTTTTCTTCTTTGCCTGTGTCTCTAACCACATGCAGAAATATTTGAAACACAATCCTTATGGAGAGGCTGCTTTTTTTGAATTTCAAGTGTCAATTTGATTAACTCTCGTCTAGCACAAACACRCTAGATTGAGGCAAAGAAAACCGTTAATTTATAAATAAAGCAACACTTCTTGGATTAGTWTCAGGTCCAAAAGGTGCTCAGAAGATTGAAGTTTTGTACCATGAACCAACTCTACATTACTTTGACAAGGAACAGTTGGCTCATTAGAGTTGCTCTTTTTTGCTTGTTCTGTTTTTCCTAGTTAGGTAATCCGGACTTAATACTGGCYATACAAACCTTTCCCGCTGGTGGTAAAATCCCTGATGAAAGTAATCAAACTTATCTTGTATTTTATACATGCTTCAACTGCAACATATTATGGCACTTTAGCTCTTTAGCACATCGGTTRGAGATGGCCTTAGKTGTGGTTGTCTTTCTCATTGTTGCTGCTGTTTTTCATTCTTTAACTGCTACCATTTGGTTGGAATTTAGGATCCTCAACCTTCCAGAATGCCAGTACCTGTCTATGTTTGCTGCAAGCCAAAATCAAGCCACCAATGATGCAACTAATACAGAAGATTTGGGCAAAGGKCTTTCTAAGCCAAGGTATTTACCTCTCTCAAAGTCCAGCTCAATCATATGTATGTGTGTGTGTGTGTGTGCGTGCGCGAAATCATTGCTAATTACATATTTCATTGTTGGAAGTAGGTCGACCATGAAACCCCCATTAGGAAAAGGAAATAAAAAGGACAGCAAAAAGCGTGCTTATGCTGAGGATGATGAATTGGATCCAATGGATCCAAGTTCATATTCAGATGCTCCTCGTGGTGGCTGGTATGACATTTACATCTTCATTTTAAGCACTTATGTGTCCCTGATTTCTTCATAATGCCACTACCTGAAGATGTTTCAAGTTCCCAGGAATGTATGAGATTAGTAGCCCAAGTTGTTTGCTGATCTCTGTTGCTGATTTCCAGGGTTGTTGGTCTGAAAGGAGTACAACCACGAGCGGCAGATACTACTGCAACGGTATGCTACTTTTCTAGTTGGTTGTTCCATTTTCGCCACTTTCCACTGAAGTTGCCTCACCGTTTTTATTTGCACCRGGAGTAATGGTATTGTAACTAATTATAGTTCGTACTCCTACTCCCAATTAGCTGTCATATTTTGATTTTAAATATGAAATGAACTACATTTGATTTCAAAACGGCGTTTATATATATAAACGGAGGAAAAGTTAACAGCTACTGCAAAAATATACGAATTATAAATATAAATAATGTAGGTGTTCAAACATTAAAAATACACAATACTTATGAAGTTGGCAAATTTCAAGTTTGTCCTTTTTAAAGGTTGAGAATATGGGAATGGAGGGAATAGTTATTTGGAGATGAACTTTACGAATACTGTCTCTAAATGCATTTAAGGCTTTTATTGTAAAACATGATGAAAAGCTTCTATTTATGGGGGTTATCACTTTGGTATACCACTACACCTSTAGAGTGCATCAACAGATCAAGATGAACTCATTGTGAACAAAATGCTAAATGTTAAAAGGTGGGGCATTGCATACATCACAAGATGCATCGAAACTTTGGTAATGAACAAAGATCAGTGGTTCTTGTAATATAGACCACCTATGCATTGGTGATATTTAGGTCCTCTCTAATAGCAATGGATCAAATATAAACCAAACCAAACCAAACCAAACCAAATGGACCCTGTAAATCCCATCATATACTTAAATATTACTTGGGTCGTCTTTGAAGCTTCCATTCCATAGTTTCAGGAAATACTAGAAATGCAGGAGTCTGTAGTCGTTAGTTAGATCTTTGACCTGAGCTAACATGTTGGAAGTTTACYAAGTATTGGCACAAATTTAGAATTCTTTTATCGTATAGCCATGCCATCGAAGTGCAGTATGGACAATGAAATAGGAAAAAGATCAAATTCAAATRTCTTATGTTAGTTGAAACATCATCCAATTTTTTTTCAATACATACATTCCAGTAATTACTAATTAGGAAGCCTGTATCTTTCAGATTGAACTTTTGGATGGGTTTCTTCACTCTAGGCTATAGTTTCATAAAGAATATCATCTTTTTAACCTCTTATTTTTTTTAAAGTACATGGACTTGTCAGTTAAGGTCTTAGATTTTAATAGTGTCATGGGTAACTGTTAATGGGATACATAATGTTAATACTTTAGCATGATTCAATAGTTTAATATTGATGTACATTCATCATAGAGAAATCAAAAGATTACACTCTCTATAGAAGGATTATAATGGATTCTCTGGCTTTTGAGAGGCCATGTCTTTCCCAGATGTTGATTACAAAACAGAATGCTCTTCCCTCTAATCCCCTCCTGTATATCATTATTATTATACCCCCTCTATTTACTTATTGACTGAACTTATAGACCTGTTGACCTCAGGGTATAACAATACCCACTCCCAACTTTCACCCTGTCCTCAAGGTGGAAAGAAAAAGAAAAAAGAACTGATACACAATTGCGATCAAGAACCRGATACTTGCAGCTTTTGTCCCAAGGAGTCTCTCAACTTCATCCYTGTACCAGCTTGTGAAGTCCTTGTGCCCTTGTTGTTTAACCAACAAAKTACCTTTTTCTTCTAATGAAATATCCTAAGAGAAGTAGAAAATGGACGGTTTAGGCCYCATAACATAATGTCCCAATTAGCTTCAAAAGCAGATAAATTCTTCCAATTCAGCTTCAGGTACCACCCTAAAAAACTTGTCCCCTTCATTCCAAGAAACTTGCCATCATTAGCACCCATCTCAGATTAGTCATCCCACAAGCCCCCTTTTTCTTTCAAAATAAGTCACAGCAGAGCCAGCATCACCTCTGCCTTTACATCTTGAATGACCACCTCATTTGCAACCGTAGTACACCAATTGGCTTCTGTAACCATAATGGACTGAACATTTACCTTGAAAGGTCCTTCGACTACGATAGATCTCTCTCTCTCTCTCTCTCTCTTTAGATATGCAACTTCCATAACACCACAGTTGAGAATCATATGCCATCAGCATGCTCATCTTTGCATTCTCTTCTGGACCGACCAAAAAAAWTTCAATATCGGTTGRGATGGTAACCCATTTCTCAATGAAGAAACTTCTGTTTCGAACCAAAATCTGCTTCTTGATGATGTCAGTTTGGATGCCTCTTTTGGGAATTGCATGAAAATTCGTCGTGGACTCATTGCTCTCGTTTTTAGAATCTTTGATTAAAGTAGGATCCTCGAAGAAACAGAAAYTGGGAGCATATTCCAATATTGATTTTTCTACAAGATGCTCACTATTTCGTAAGCATAATTCGATTGTCAAAATGTCTTCCAAGTCCATGTTTGTGAATACTTTGACARTGGTAATTGTGGCTTTATTATGAGTAAGAGTGCCAGTTTTGTCCAAAATCTCATATYGTCTCTTGTGAGCCCTCTCCAATGCATCTCCTTCTTTGATCATAACATCATTGTTGACCCCACGCCAGTTGTAACCATGCCATTTGTAAGGGTGAYTAGACCAAGTGTAAAATCCTTCCAACCACGACCATTGAAAACATAGCTGCAAACTTCAARTAGTTGCCATCTTGAAGTAGCCAGACTTCCCCTCTTTTGGTCTCACCCAATTTTTTAAAACTAAAATTGCAGGGTACCACTACACTAAGCCCCTCAATAGTGCCCACTAGCTTCATTTCTTTTGGATTGATTAATCCTATTACAGAATTTAAGTGTACCTCGATATTTTTTCCCRCGTCTGTGGCTCCCTCACCATCCTSTAGCTCTAATCTCACCATTGTWTTCTTATTGACTTCCCCTTCCGATATCCAATTCAAACCCTCGACGTTATCCCCTTGTTTTAAGGCTAGCGGCGATGGTTGTAAGAACGTTGAAGGCGGTGGTAAAACGGTGTTAGTCGCGTCATGGTTGTAAAAAGGTGTTGAAGGTGATGGTTGAAAGACGGTGGTCATGGTGGAGGTAGTGACGGAGTTGTTATTACTTGTTAGCATCGGTGGTGGTTCACGATGAWYGCCGCCCCACCAAATTCTYCTCAAAGCCGTCGAAACTAGAGGTTTAAACAAAGAGACAATGCTGTCTTTTACGTGCRGTACGGGCTCAGGCCCAATGGTAGATGGAATGTGTTTGGATTCCTTCTTTTCCTTCCTTGCTTTTCCCTTCTTCATGGGCCGATTGAGTGGCATCCCCATCGTTAACCAGAATGCAACCGCTGTTTCCTCTAGATTCAGCTTTGATTTCGGATTCCAGTTTAGTTCTCGACTAGGAATTGGATCTGATTTTTGGTTCAAATTCATATTCGGACATGGATTTTGTTTTTGATCTGATTTTGGATTGAGATTCGTTTCTGGATCCGGATTTGGTTGGGAACCTGTCCACCCCCCCCCCCCCCCCCCCCCCAATCTGGTTTGTTGTCCATTGGAATTGTTTCAGATTCTTTGTCGCCGTTGTTGAACGAATGATAAGATGATCTCTCTCCTGTAAGTTCTCTCCGAAATTCCTTATCATCCTTGTCTTCATCCCCCATAAATCTCATCTTCATCCTACACAACACACTCCTTCACGATTTGCAAATTTCTTTTGACCGAGAGGCCAGGTCTCTCCCAAATGTTCTCACTCAATCAATTACAAAACAGAATGCTCTTTCCTCTAATACCCTCTCCTGTTCATACTACCCCTTCTTATAAACCTGTTGACCCTAAAGGTATAACAAATATTTAAGGGTTTATTGTTGTATTCCCCTATGAAAACTTTAAAWTGATTGGTAAAGGTGGTAAATGGGTAGTAGTTGGGTCAGTTTGGTTAACCGGTCCAAACAGGCTTGGGTCAAATGGGCTCTTTTCAAAATGTGTCATGGGTCAGGTTGACCCAATAATTCTTTTTCCTTTAGAATTTCATAAATAGCCAATATATTAAATGCGGTTAKAAAAACCATTATTTATTGACTAAAAAAGTTGTAGCATCATGTCAAAAGAAACTTGATTCAAATAAACAAATAGTTATTCTTACAGTATCATCCAAGATCAATAATAAGTGTCAAAAAAAAATATCCAACATTTTTGTTTTCATTTATCACAGAATCTAATATATAAGCAAGTCATTACAAGCTTTAGTGTTGTGGTTAATTGTTATAGCATAATTAAATCAGACAAAATCTTATTTTGGATAATAAGTAAGTTTAATTTGGCATTCAACCCGTCTATTTTAATGGAACCAAATGACATGAGGCGAAAAACAATTAATCTGCCATTCAACCCGTTTGCAGATACAGCATGACGATGTGAGTATCTTGTAGGGGTTCTAGTTCATGTAGAAGTTTTTTCTCAGAACATGGCATGTTGGACYGCCATAATCTACTCCGAAAGTCCTGAGTAACTTCCATCTTATGTCTAGTGAACTGGAACTGAGTCGATTATGTGCTTCCCCGTGCAAAACCCATAAGCGCACATACACCTTGCACTAGCTTGACACTGACCCCTTGCCACATAAAAGGTCCACCATTATTACAATATCGAGAAGGAAATTTATCTTCACCAAGGGTGCTATAACATTAAAAACCCTGTGTAGCTCAATTGTTAAGATCTTTGGTTTGCTCCCCAAATGTCAACAGTTCAGGGGAACACCCACGGTAATCCATATAGAAGAAGGCTGCTATAACAAAAAAAATGTGATGTTTGGGTACAATTCTACTTTCATATGCAATAACATGCGGTAAGAGTCCTTTGGCTAGTGATGCTAATAATTTCTGAATGAGTTGTACTCTGCATCCAGAAAAGGGATATATTACAAAGGCATAAAAGTTTATGATGTTCTGTAAGGTTTGAATTGACTTTTTACATTGTTATGAATTTCAGGGTCCTCTCTTTCAGCAGCGACCTTATCCATCACCTGGTGCCGTCCTACGAAAAAATGCTGAAATAGCTTCGCAGAGGAAGAAACCCAATTCAAACTATGCACCAATATCCAAAAGAGGAGATGGAAGTGATGGCCTTGGAGATGCTGATTGAAAATTTGCATCTTGTAAAGTTCAAATCTTTACAAATTTTAGTTTCTAGTTTTTGCCGGTGGTCTATCCATAAAATAATCTGCTTATAGATCAACAAGCTTCCCTTTGCCCAAGAATCACAAGCCCTTYGAAAAGTTCATGACTTTCCTGACAGATTTTGAGGCAAAGGCGTTCTTAAATCTGTCTGAAGGTTATTATCTGGTTGTSACCATCGAAAGAGTCCCATGGAAACCCAGAGAGGCTGGAAGGACCAAATGRAGGGACAAGGGTAAAAGTTGTGTTCCTAAAGATCATGGTACATGGCTATGGCCTGCCAGCTATGTCCCAACTTCAGGACTCCAAACTAGAAACATGAGCATGGTTGGTTGGTGGATGCAAAGCTTTTGGTTTGTTTGTAATATGAAATTGATGAAGGTCAAATTGGAATCAGTTCATGATTATCATGTATTTTCTCCACCCAATATACTTGGTTGGTTGTTCTGATTTGGATTGGCAAAAGTGGGATGGTTGTCCAGTTCTTAAAACTTTTGCAAGTAACAAAATCCAGCCACTAATGTGTTGAAGCAGGTAATGGTAATGTATATGTATTGAGACCATCATTATCACAAAACAAAAACAAGATTCATGATAAGATAGAAAATAGAAAAGGTTGTAAATCTTGGTTATGCTACAACTCAATCTTTAAAAAAGAAGAAGAAAAGATTGAAGTAATTAATTAACCATGGATTTGGAGAAATTAGATGAAAGATGAGACYATCAAACACTTACCCGGGTAAGCGTTTACCAAGTTACATTACCTAATCAGATGAATATGGTAAGGACTAAGAATCTTGCTCGGTAAGAGTGAGACAAGTACTACGAGTTTTATTCGGTAAGTGAGGGCGATGACTCTTACCACGATAAGCGCTTACTGGGTGAATTGGTGCATACAATGTCGTTTTGATGGATTACAATCTTACTCTGTAAGTAAATAATAGTGTTAAATTTTACCGGTAAATACTTACCGGGTAAGTGTTTGATAAACGACCTTTTTTTTTCTTATATTGTTGTTGAGTTCTCTAATCAATCAAACCCACATACATCATCAGGAATCCTTCACGCGTAATACTCTGGTTTGATGTAATATGTTTTCACCATTTCCATTTCCCATTTTCRTTCCTCATCAAATCAATTGCAATCCTCCAAATTCTCAATCTTCAATTTCATATACAAATAATGCCAACAABAAGTTTGACTTTGAAGTCAAAGGAGAACAAGAAGATGTGGGATTCAGATGGATATAAAAGGCATAAAATTTTCATTTTCACCCTTCAAATTTTCTTTCAAATTTCTAGTATTGAGTCATTTTAAGTTGTAATTTTAGTTGATTGAGGACAAGCAGCATACACTTTAGCACCCAATTATGTCTTTATTTTACTTCACTTTACACCCTTTTCAATCTTATATTGAGTCTTATAGTCTTATTTTATAGTTTTATATTTAGTGGAGCTAGGATGCGGGAATGACACTTTTTATGAATTTGGTGTGTATAATGCTGACATGAGCATTGCTGTAGCATGTGTATACGTTGTTGCAGCACTGGACACTGGATTGACACAGCTAGTTCAATCCCGTTGAATAAATTGAAAAGTCAAGTTTTGAAGAAAGACATATTTTAGTACTGTAGAAGGCGATTTAAATGGAAGATGTCACTAAAAATATACTTTAAACCTTTGTACTAAAGTATCTTGTGTACTAAGGCATCTTTTCTTTTACTCATTGGTTAATAACCAATGGGTTAATACTTTTGATTCCCTCTTGGTAGTATATATATACATAGGGGCCTAATCAAATGAGAACTAATTAGTTTTTGGTAACTGTGAGGTCCAATCTCAACCACAAATCAATATATAAATTAGGAAATTTATAATTTTGGTAATTTTGAATTAAAATTTTAATGCAAGATATTTAGGTATTTTAAAACTCTTCTCTCTCCTCTTTTCTCCATCCTCTCTTCTCTCTCCATCCCCCATCCTCCGGCCTCCGGCCACCATCCTCCGGTGATACCATTGTGGTATCACAATGCATCTTATATGTGTTCGGGTATCACATTGAGGTCGTTTGTGTGGTCGATCGGAGATGTAACATAGTGGTATCACAATGCATCTTATATGTGTTTGAGTATCACATTGTGTCTTTTGTTTAACAGAGTCAATATTTTTATGTATCACATTGGTATCACTGGAGGACGGTGGCCGGAGGACGATGGGGGGAGGACGGAGGACAGAAACCGGAGGACGGGGGACGGAGAGAGAAAAGAGGAGATAGGAGAGTTTTAAAATACCTAAAATGTCCTTATATTAAAATTTTAATTTAGAATTACCAAAATTATAAACTTTCTAATTTATCTATTGATTTGTGGTTGAAATTGGATTTTACGGTTACCACAAACTAGTCAGTTCTCCCTTACATTTTAGGTATTTTCTCACCTCTCTCCTCTCTCTTCTCTTCTCTCTCCATCCTCGTCTTCCGGCCTCCGGCCACCGTCCTCCTGTGATACTCAAGTACATATAAGATGCATTGTGATACCACTGTGTTACATATCTGATTAACCACACAAACGACCTCAGTGTGATACCCAAACACATATAAAATGCATTGTGATACCATTATGGTATCACCGGAGGATGGTGGCCGAAGGCCAGAGGATGGAGGCCAGGGGACGGAAAGAGAAGAGAGGAGAGATGAGAAAAAATACCTAAAAT